CTTGGTTTCGGTGTGAGCCGCGGGCAGCGCGTACGCGGTGTGAGAAAGCGGCGCCGCCGCCCCTCAGCGTGGTTTGAGCTGCGCTTCAGGAGGCCTCGGTGGGCGCCGCGACACTTCAGTGCGCTACACGTACCTGTTAATACACTCCTCTCACTCCTCTCTTTGTGTTTGTTTTCCCTAGTTCTCCTTTAACATGTTCGATCACCCCATCCCGCGGGTTTTCCAGAACCGCTTCTCAACTCAATACCGCTGCTTCTCGGTACTCAGCGTGGTTTGAGCTGCGCTTCAGGAGGCCTCGGTGGGCGCCGCGACACTTCAGTGCGCTACACGTACCTGTTAATACACTCCTCTCACTCCTCTCTTTGTGTTTGTTTTCCCTAGTTCTCCTTTAACATGTTCGATCACCCCATCCCGCGGGTTTTCCAGAACCGCTTCTCAACTCAATACCGCTGCTTCTCGGTATCCATGCTTGCTGGGCCTAATGACAGGTCAGATGTGGAGAAAGGCGGGAAGAGTATGTGCATGTTTTATTTTGATTAATAACCTATTGGAAGCGTGTTTGTGAATAATGTCGAGTAATGCAGCTTTTGGCCCAGACTGGCACAGTGGAACAGCGCGGAGAGGTGCTGTTGGCTCTGTGGCTGGAGCTGGAACAGCACCCTGGGGGGAGCCCTGAGACGGAAGTAGGAGGGGTTTATCGCGTTAGTCTGTAATTAAAAAACTTACTAAGCGAGTCCTGGTTTATGAGCATTAGGAGAAGACAACCTGCTTTTTTAAAGCCTTTTGTTAAAGTCTTAGGGCCATTATGCGCCACGGAAACTTATGATTAAGGACTCTTTTCCTCTCCTTGTTGTACCTCGCTTAGCTTGAACAAAGAGAATGGGTTGGCCGGCTTAATTCTCAGGCTGTTGGACTCATGCTGTGTTGTTTCGAGTTGGCATCAGTTTAAGAGTACCTATAAGCCCAAACAAATAAAATTAAATTTAGGAAACGTTTTGTTTAGTACTAGGTGTTGTAATACCTTGTCTTCTCTGGGTTGTTTTGATTAAATTCTGAAATCTCCATGCTAGCAAGTATATTTGTCATGACCGATTCTACTGAAGTCACTGGCTCAAAAATGAATTGGCAGGAGATTGTAGAATCTACTTTTTTTTTAGAGGAGATTTTAGAGAAAGGAATGTTAAACTTTATGTTATGTACTCTTTGTACAGTCATACTTTTCCTAATCTTACATTCTTATTCATTTCTGCAGTAATTATGCCACCATCGGCTTTGGATCAACTCAGTAAGTGAATATTTTATTCTGGAATAACAACATTAGAAATATGAGCAAATGCGCAAGCAAATACCTCAGTATTTCAGTTATGTATTAAAATCTGACTTAAATAGAGAATATGAGACTAATTAGTTGAAAAAATTTATTTTGGAAGTATTTTGTCTGTCAGAATTAATGGGGCTTGTCTGTCTTCAAGTACAGACATTTGAAGTGTTGGGCTACCTGAGGCATGAATCAATATTTATTAACTATTAATAGTGTACTCAGTGTAATGGTTACAGTTAATCCAGTAAATTCTTTATCTCAACTTGCTTGTTCTGGACACTGTTGTCTGCAGGAAAATTAATTTTAAAGACAAAATAAGTGATAGTTATCTTTGAAATGGGGAAAAAGATAACTGAATGAACAGTATAAATGGTCTTTATTGACCTTTTTAACTAAGGGATTTTTTTTCTTTCCCCTCTGAGTTTTAGCCTTAATTTCTTTGAGAAATTAGTTTAGTCAGGATTTGATTTTTAAATAGGCAGGGCCAGCTAAAATTCATTTGGTAGGAGCTATCCGATAATAGCAATCAGACATAGCAGTAATAGATTCCTGTGCTAATACCCGCTGCCTGCTTATCTCTGAGCTTCTGGAAGTGTTGGAGGGGCATTTAAAGCTCAAAGTACGATGGCAGTACAGTATTTGTGTATTTGCGTTCTCTCCTGGATTCGTAGTTTTGAGCAGTTGGAATAACTGTGTGAGGGGAATGCTCTCCTATAGTCTGGCGCATTCTCTTGCTAATGGTCAATCTGTGAAAGCTTCAGAAATGTGTTAGTGGCTTTTAACAAATAAATTTTTTTTCTCCTCTCTCACCAGGCCGACTTAATATTACTTACCCGATGCTGTTTAAGCTGACCAATAAAAATTCAGACCGAATGACGCACTGTGGAGTGCTTGAATTTGTGGCTGATGAGGGCATATGTTACCTTCCACACTGGGTGAGTTGTCTCATGCTGAACTGTCAAAACATGAAGAGTAGGATGAGTGAGTTGCCAGTTTAATAATAAAGAGGCAGAATGTTTCCTGAAAGTGCGTGTCTTTGTTAGGCGTGTTGCTACAATAGCTTTCAGCCACAGCTCAGGTTTCCCTCCATGAAACCTGACTGCTTTTTAAGATGCATCTGACTGTCCTTCCTGTAATCAAACCATGGTAAGCTGGTGCTTTTCAGGGAAGATGGTGGCCCCAGCAAAAATTGGTATATGCAAGGAAAGAGAATTAAAAACATCAGTCATGTTGATAGTGGTTTCTATCTTTGTTTTCATTCTTCCAGATGATGCAGAACTTGCTGCTGGAAGAGGGAGGCCTGGTGCAAGTGGAGAGTGTTAATCTTCAAGTTGCTACTTACTCAAAATTTCAGCCACAGAGTCCAGATTTTCTTGACATCACCAATCCCAAAGCTGTGTATCCTTCCTATTCAATTATGGAGCAGGGAACAAAAGTTTTCTCCCAAATTGGAATGCTGAAGCAGAGCTAGCTTTTCAGGTGTGGCTCATACTCTTCCAGTAGTAGGTAACTACTACTGTTCCTTCTGAAGACAGAAAGGATGGAGAGTTTTTGTACAGAGATGTTGCCAGCTGCTGGCACAAAGTGTAGTGTGGAGCAAAGAAGCATGAATCTTGGCTTAAAGTCCAATGAGTTTGAGTGTTCCTTAGAAGAACTTGTATACCCTAATGTTTACTAACAGGCAATCTACAGTACTGATGACTTTTAAGCCACATTTGGGAGATCAAGGATCAGAGTTTATAACATAGTAACTTTAAAGCTTTTTTGTTGCATTGAAAACAAATGTTTCATCTTAACATACTCCAAAGATTAGAAAATGCATTGAGAAACTTTGCTTGTTTAACTACTGGGGATGTTATTGCCATCAACTACAATGAAAAGGTACAGTATACAACACCAGTCCATGCAAGTTTTGTTTGTATACCGTCAATTTGAGGAAATAAATTCTGCCCCATGTAAAAAAGTACGCACAGTATTGTTGACAAGTAATCTGCAGTATCGTTGACAAATAATCCCTGATGGTAGATTTCACAATCAGTTTTCTGTTGGAGGAGAAAAAGGGTCAGTTAAGTCTTCTCCTGAGCTGCTGTTTAGACTTTTTTGACTCATGAGAAAATACTTTTTTGTGCTGCTGATGTTTTTACAAGTCAAGGGACAGAATTTATCCTAAATTCGTAATTTGTTTTCAAAAATGCAGATTAAGGTACAGTAAGAGTGCAGCAAGGTACAGTAAAAAGTAGGTTCTCTAGCTCCAGTATGTAGCAATCTTGTAAGTTAAAAATCTTGGCCTCTCAAGTTCTGTAGAGACCCTGCAGTATCCAGTCCTCAACCTAAAGAGCACTTACTTCAATTTTCTTGAAGCTATCTGAAGGGAAAGGTTTAGATACACTTTTCTTATATGTAAATCTAACTCTTTCATATACAATCTTAAAATAATCGTTACTGTTTCAGATCTATGAGCTTCGGGTAATGGAGACCAAACCGGATAAGGCTGTGTCTATCATAGAATGCGATATGAATGTAAGTTAAAGCGGATGTGGAAAGTCTGATTTTACTGTGTCCTCCTAAAAGGAGAGGGCATCTCATTCAGTGACAGCGCTGTCCACCAACCACCTCCGATGCTGCGGAGGGATGGGATAGGGAAGATAACTCGTGAGAGTACCCCGTGTACCTTTGTAACCACATCTGTGGGCTCGAGCAGCACTTCATGTACCATCAGGTGACTGTAGTGCCTAGAATGTGATGTTTAGCTTCAACAGATTTTATAATCTGAGTTTTATTTAATAGCCTTGTCTTCATTTAAACTCCAGTGATATTTGGGGTGCTGTTTTACTGCTCTGTTTCAAATACATGCTAAGACTCATTCCTGGAAGGCTTAGTCTTATTAGTTCTGAGTTAAAATATTTAATAAGCGAAGCTCAGTTCTTTTTAGATCAAAATGGAGTGATCGTTTGTGGAGTTTTGAGGAATAGTAGTATAAAGTTTATGATTAAATACATAAATCATGCTTACTTTCATGCTTCTTGTGTAAATAGGTGGATTTTGATGCTCCTTTGGGGTACAAAGAACCAGAAAGAAGCGCGCAACACGAGGAGACCACAGTAGGTTAAGCTTCTGTTCTTCAAAAATGTATTCCCTAGAAGTCAGCCTGGCTTGTGATGGAGCAGTGAGCACCAACATAAATTTTTTTCCAGAAGCAATTTCTTAAGACAAAACTTACCACGCGCTTTTCCTTGTGTTACTTGGGAGATGGTTGTTTACCAACTGTTGATTTTGGAAAGGGATTGATTGTTCTGAAGTTTTGTTTGGTCAGAAGTATGTGGAAATATGTTTTCATGCGTTCTGCATACCACAGCATGAACACAGTGAACTAACTTGTTTTCTCCCTGACAGGACGTTGAAGCAGACCATAGTGGATATGTGAGTGACATAGGATTTCGTGTGAGTCCCCTATTTCTGCTGGTTTCTGAATGTTGTAAAATGGTGAGGGAAGTTGTTCCAAACAACTGCAAAATAGTAGTACCTGTTCTTAGAGGTGTTCGTTGTTTAACTGGCAACTATCTGCGAATGTTCTGTGGTGCTTACGGCCAGGAACAGTATGACTTGCTGTCCTTAGAGGGCAGTCTGTGAATGGGAGAACAAAACATACTCCTACACCCAGGGTTCATCAGCTTATGTGTACCAAAAAAACCCATGCTGAATCAAATAATTAAATAAAAATGATAGTAAGATTTTACAGAATATAGTATCTCTGGGCAGTGTGCTTTCAAATACAAGATATGGTTGAATTAAAACTCGTTATGTATACATAGGCGTTCTCTGGTTCTGGGAACAGATTGGATGGCAAGAAGAAAGGTGTTGAGCCTAGTCCATCGCCAATTAAACCTGGAGACATTCGAAGGTATGTCTGTTTCGTTCAGTTGTCAGCAAGTGAAGGATCAGTGTGTGAGTGGAGTTTAATTTTGTTTGATGCTCCTGCAATATAAACAAGCTAATTTTGTCCTAAGTTTGTATTTAGAAAATAGCCTAATTTTCTAGATGGGCTGTGACATCCCTGACTGCTTTGGATTCAGATCCTAAGTTAATGTTGCCAAAACTCAATCAGTTCTGGTTGTACACAAGACAAGTAAGGAGAGGCAGCAGGTCTAGACTGGGCTGGGTGGAGTGATGCACAGTGCCCCACCAATTTTCTAAAGCGAAATTTGGTGTAGAGTGAAACCTTTTTTGAGTTGGGTGGATAACCAAAGCCAAGCCACGTGTTTTTTTTTTTCTTTTCTTTTTCTTAGAAGGAAATTTAGAACATTCAGACTTAAGGATGTGGTTCCTGTGGTGTTCTGTCATTTATGCCTGTCACAGTAAAACTTGAGCTCTTGTGGAAAAGTGTGTCCATGGCGCTGTGGAAACCACAGGCTATGTGGAAACGTGCCCACAGCCAAGCTTCTGGAGCAGCTCCAGTGTCTGATTATTTACTTTGTGCAGTGTATGCCTGCCTTCAGAAAACAATCCAGTGGCTTAACTCTAGAATCATTTGGTAATGAAAATTTGCAGCCAGTTGTTGGTACAACACTGGCAGACAAAGAATAGGTCTCACTTTGTTCAATTGGATGGTGCGTATAAAACATCTTTCATAATATTTTTATGCTTCTTTTCCAGAGGAATACCCAACTATGACTTCAAGATCGGTAGAATCACATTCATTAGAAACTCACGTCCACTAGTTAAGAAAGTCGAAGAGGTAAATAAAGTTGGATCCTTCCCAATTTTGGACAGGATTAGAATGTTAGAAGTACTGTCCAAGTTTGTGGTTTCTCTCTCCATACTTGATTTTTCACAGCACCCTTCTGTTAAAAAGTGGTGTGAATTAGGTGAAAGCAGCCTCCGATGTCCTTGCTTGCCAGTGTAAAAAGACTGGCCTGATATAAATTTAATAAGCCAGTGCCTACTTGTTTCAGTTGGCTGAAAGGTCACTGAACTGCTCGTATTTTATTTTCAGGAAGAAAGTGGTTATTATGTAGGTTAAGGATGTGAAATGTCTGCAGTCAGTTTCTGCTCTGATGGAATATTCTTTCTAATGATCGTTCAGTTTCATCACACACGAGCAGTGAGCAAAGACGTAACAGCCTTTTTTCCCTCTTTCCTTTTTCCAGGATGAATCTGGAAGCCGGTTTATTGCCTTTTCCGGAGAAGGCCAGTCGCTGCGCAAAAAGGGAAGAAAACCCTAAGCTGTGGTACCTTTAGTCAGTTAGGAGGAAAATAAAATAACAGTTGCAGCATATTGGATCTTAGTTATTGCAGTTGAGAGGAGAGATCGTTTTGCAACACAGGAATGCTTTTACTGGTTTTGGTTTCGCATTTAAAACCAGACCTGTCAGACTCTCTGAATTTTCAGTTGAAAATTAAGTTCCAGGAATTCTGAAGGAGTTTTTCTGTATGTGTTGTAAAGAGGGAAAGTATCTCAGCTAAACCTGAGAAGTAAACCCAACGAGGTCTCCCTTACTAAAAAGTCCGGCTCTTGGACTACACCCTCCCCTCTTACCTCCCGAGTGATGATGGCTCGTCTCCCTCTGGGCTTTGTATTTTCCTCCCTCTCTATGTATTTTGCCACAATTTCAGGGAAGCTTTTTAGTGTGGTACAAATGAAGGCTAACACTTTGGGGTTTAGGAATTTTGTGTAGGGAGTCTCTTTGATCTTAGCTTCAGGTGTTGGTTATAAATCATTCTACGCAACCCCCCTTTAATTGCTTTTTGTATTTATAATTAATAATATGACTTTTAGTAGTTCGGCTACCGTAATGCACTGCCGCAATCTAATGGCACATGGAGGGAGAAGTTCCCTGCCTGGTGCCGGGGAGGCAACGGGTGCTCGGGCGCCCTACCGGAAGGGCGGGCAGTGGCCGGGAGGGGAGGGCAGCGACCGGGGCCCTCTCACGCGGCCGTTGTGGGCCGTG